ACTCCGAGCCGACCAGTCCTTGTTTTACCCATTAATGCCGAGCGCCAGGCAGGGACCAACAAGTACCATATTTTAACGTGTGACGCGGCCGGGGATCGAACCCGCGACCTTCTGCTCTCCGGGCGGACGCTCTTTTTTCCTCTTTAATAAAATGTTTATTTATGTTATTGATATGTACAATAAAATATGTTAAGAGATATGATCACAGAGTTCCGTGGAATTAATCGCTGACCTTCCGCTCTAACCTCTACACCACGGAGGTGGTCAGCTGAAAATTGAAATGAAGTTGCTCATGTGACTTCCGTTTGGATTCATAGCAAAATCGGGCTACAGTATATACGAATGTATATATTTATATGTATTGTACGTATTTAGTTGAATATGTACATCAACGCCTTGATTCATTTAATTTATTCTGTCAACATCAGACATCATTTGTTCAGAGAGAGAGAGACGGAGGGAGGGTCACAGAGAGAGAGAGAGAGAGTGTGAGAGAGTGTGTGTGTGTGTGCGTGTGTGTGTGTGGATGAACCGTATTATTTCCCCTATGTCCAACAATACCAACGAAACTCCATCAAGCAACCACATACATACACACAGGCACACAGGCACATATACACACAATGCTGTGTGTCACCATCAAGACACACGGTAAGGATAGTAAAACAGTGTTGTGTTTAAAGCACTTTATTCCCGGATCATGACTCAACATGTAAACTGCGAAATCTTCATACCGTTGCACTTCCTAAATGCTGCTCCCTCTCTTTTGTGTTCTTTTTTGTTCCTTCATAATTTTGAATCTGTGTTCATTAATTTTCATTTCAGTTAAATGAATACTTGATTACTCAGGTGGAATGTTTTATGCATTTGAAATTAGGAAGCAAGAGGTTCTTTTGTGTGGATTGACAGGACATAACATGCCCTGAACTGTCTATGGTTAAACTGTTCAAGCAATGTCTAATCAAGACTGAAATTTATAGCCGTACACAAAATTAAAGGCATATATTGTCTCGTAGTATACTTTGACATTAAATGTGAAAAGAATGAGATTTTAATTTAGATTAGAATATTAATAATAATTGATCAGCACTTCTCTCTTAACCTTCATGATGCCTGTATATTCTATGAATGTTGTTTAACGGCCAAAGTTTAAAGTCTTTCTTTTATGTAATCCGTTCTACTGTTGGTATACTTTTTAGGTTGTATAAAACTCTACGTAAATATCACAGTTCAGCTCTTAGCCTCTACCTCCCGCACATGACATAATTTCATGTTCATCGTTCCACTAGCTACTGACATGATAATGTTATATAAAAATATAGGTGTAGCACAAGCTTCCATATATCACTGTAAATAATCTGTCAAAGTTTTATTTATTACTCGTATATGTATATAAACGATATTTCTACACATACACCACCGTAGTATAAACAAACGCATTATATATAGAAAGACGCTTGTGCCCATTACATTTGACGTTGATTTTTTGCATTTTATCATGATTCATGATACAGTCGGAATCTAACAGTGGACTATAGCAACATATATTTAAGAACAGAGTTTCGTTGAAATATTTACAGGAACAATATATTTCAACAGCAACATTAGAATAAATTGTGTTGTTTTTGTTCTTTCAAAAATATTTCATGAACCCGCGGAGGACATGATTTGATTCATCATGATCTGTTCGTCAACACTGAAATGGCAAGTAAAAGTCTCTAAAATCTCTGTAGAAGCAAAATTTGGTCTGTCTTCTTTTAGTATTTGAAGTTTGTGTACCTTCTTTCCGTAGAAAGTTAAAATACACATCTAAATGATCGTGTAGAATACTGATTTCCAGCGATCCTTTCATTTACGTTTCAACGCTATTTTATCCTTTTCGCACATTTTATTTTAGACTGGAAGCCAGCACTTGACCATTAATTATGTTTGTTTCGGTATCAAGACTGAAGTTCAATGTGTGTGTGTGTGTGTGTGTGCGTGCGTGCGTGCGTGCGTGCGTGCGTGCGTGCGTGTGTGTGTCGTTTGTTTGTTTGTTATAAAGCTTTGTATGAGACCGTATGGAATATATTCAGTGCTTTTTACCAGAAATGAAAGAGGCCATTTAACGTCCCTTTCGATTTGCATGTTGCTGTGCATAACGACCCAAAGGGAAAACCTATATTTATGATAATGTGTGAATATAGGGTTTACTTCAACTTTCTCTTTTTGTCGAGCAGTAGCCCACCAGCTCCAGGTCTGACGTTGACAGGTCGCTACTGTTGTTGCAATCGAGTAAGCTATTTCTTCTCAGGGGCGGTGGAGTAGCCTAGCGGTTAAAGTGTTCGCTCGTCACGCCGAAGACCCGGGTTCGATTTGCCACATGGGTACAATGTGTGAAGCCTATTTCTGGTGTCCCTCGCCGTGATATTGCTGGAAAAAAGCTAAAAGCGGCGTAAAACTAAACTCACTTACTCACTCACTCACTTTTCTTCTTAAGATTGTAAAGAGTCGCATACAACTCGTGATCAAAAGTTACTTGATTAGGGCAAAAAACGTTAAGGTTTCATAAAAGCTTTCAAAAACGTTTAATGGTAGGCAGGTGGAGGACAAATTCCAAGTTTTACGGCTAAATATATTTCTCATGCTATATCCTACTTGGACTTTAACCATGGGCTCCTGGGTTTACTTCAGCTGAACTCTTGTCTTGCCTTCGCGTGTGTTTGCAACGGGCTTCCCCGTTGGGGAAGGACAGGTTCAACTTTTTACGAACACCTGGTGTCATCACTGTTTCATAGTGATTCATAAACACATGCCACAGTCGGAATCGTACAATAGACTCTGCTATTAGTGGAGATTTCTTATGATTATGAACTTGACTTTTTGTAGCTTTTATTCACATCGTATTGTACAGGTGACATTAAGTACGTTAATATCCTACACATCTATCAGTAAGTGGGATTTTAAATCGTATCAAGCTTTAATGTCTATGATGCAGAATATTCTCATTCTAAAACTATTATGCACCTGATAATGAACGATACGGTTTCAGATAATGACCATTAAAATATATCCAGTCGATGTTTTAGAAGTTCATACTCCTAATACATTCAAACATATGTTACAATGCTTTTTTCAAATACTGACTACATGTGACTTAAAAGACGAATATATGGACTATAGCATATCTCATAACAATATCTATGTTATATTAATTACAATGTGATGTTATATCACGTTTCAAATCAAACACACGTGTATAAAAATGTGATCTGTCGCTATAGACATCATCAAAGCATGTCTTGTTATTATTGTATACCATGTTACTTTGACGAGTTAGCTTTCACACATTGAGACAACATAAAATAAATAAGAGTTTTCTCGAAGCCCAAATTCTTCATCATGTCATTATCAATTTCATGATGATGTCAACTACATCCAGTGATATTTTGACAATTACTTGGTGCTCTTTAGTGAATGTAAATCACCCTAAGCACAACTGTACATGACTGACTGAGTTTGGTTTTACGCCGCTTTTAGCAATATTCCAGCAACATCACGGCGGGGTACACCAGAAATGTACATGACAATCCTGATCTTGCTACTGTGATCAGCTGACTAAATAAATGTATCTTTGATGAATTTGAAAATATTCCATTTTGGTTCGTTCTAAGGTAATTAAGTGCCAACTACATTGTGTGTGAGATGATTACAATCTAACCTCGATCGACAGTGTTTCAGCGACTTTTTATACCGCACGAAAACGCCTTTAGAAAATAGAATTTGTAAATTTTGTTGCAGCAACTCTGCTGAAGATGAGGTACATCGCCGAGTGCCATTTTTGTTCTGATATTAGATATAATATATTTCAAAATGATATCTCCCGTATTAACCCTCTCTTTTCACAAATGTCTTTAAAAGTTCAGTCATAATGGAAGATTTGTGAAGCCTCTTGCCGCAATAATATCACAAATGTATAATAGACGAAAACACGCGTTTTTGTCCCAGTCAATGGTTATCATAATGTATATTAATAATTTAACGTTTTAGTCTTGTCCCAATAAGTTTCACATTTGTATTTTGATTTAAAGCTGTTATCGTGTCTCATAAGCCATATGGCCGGGTGGTCTACATTTTTTATTGTGAATTGTATGTGATTTTAATATATCAGTTGTATACCACGTGACACGTTAAAAACTATTTTTTTCTCAATACAAAGATAATATAATAAAGGCCATTTTCAATTTATTTCAAGCCTGATACACACAAAGGGCAATGATTATGGGAAGAGTTTTGTTTCTTATTTTCAAACCAAAAGGCGTCAATGTTTTGAAAGGATACAGTCTCTGACTTGTTGAGATGTTTTGGTCCATTACAATAGCCGGTAGGATGTGTAAACTATGTTAGCGCATTACCCAACCCGAACGCTCTATCTTTATATGACATGAATTCATTACAAACATAGAAAAATAGTTGACAGACCGACACAGACAACATGACAATGCGATGTATTATGCATCAAAGCATAGCAAAATGTAGTTTTCCCAACGAAACATGTACAAGTCAAACGTGAAGAAAAAGACAGTCAATGCTTTAGGCAAATTGAGTTGACACATTCACTTCTTTCGCTCAGTGTGCAATTTGAAAGGCATCAAATGAAAATGTTGAACTCTTTAGAGTCGTCTACATAGGCTAATGCCCTATCATATTCGTATATCCAGCAGCCCTTCACATCTTTCAGCGTCCTTGATAAAGTTTCTTTACTCCTCCAGGTATGCTATAAATTCCCTTTATCCCACCTCACTTAAGCAACATAACAAAAGTCAAGAGTTACCCTGTCTTCAAAGTAGATCCGTACACCCCACCCCCAAATTGATTCCGTGACAGTTATTGACAGGTCCAATCCTCATTCATCCCCATTCATGTGGAAGAAAATCAACATCACGTGACAACAACGCTCCAACCGCAGGTAAAACTAGCCATGTGTGAAGTATTGCTCTGTCAACCGATCTAAGTAATTATATTAAAGTCCTATACGCGACGAAATCCGAGTTATGATACAAATTTCACACCGCAGTGCTACAGAGGTGTTAGAACTACCAGTGCCAACCTGAGATATGTTGAACCCCGTTTTACCATACCACTTGGCTGGTTTGGGCCTTCTCAGGCCTCTATCTATAGAAGGTATGTATTGACACCTTAACTAACGTATATCCAGCATTCACAGTCACGCTAGTTCTGAAACTCAGAGCCGAAGTGTGCGGATACATTTACCGTGAAATTATTTACTAACCTCAATTACTCTGTGTCGGATACAAATTACCAATTTGATTTGCTATGACGCTGGTCCAGGATTATATTACGTCGTAGGAAGTGGGGAAATGTTAATATTGAAGGGCGGATAGAAGAGACACATGGTGTGGATAGTGTAGATCTTTGTAAATAATAAATATTCCTTTCGAGTAACATCGTTTGGTACTTAACAACCAGTTTTAATGTAATGTGTTTTCGTCGTTTCAAATACGGCTAAGGCTTAACTGGGAGGTCCGTTCTTATGGATTTTGCATGTTGACATAATTAATGTATTTCCATCGTGCTCCTTAAACGTTCACGGTTCTGCCATGGAACGAAGCTTAACAGTGTCTTAACACTCATACACCTTAATGCAGTTCTGTTGAATTTTGTATTATTAGGAATCCGTCCTATCAAGCAAGTAGCTTCCTTTGTTATAATCAAATGTTTTCATTTTCTGTAATTGTATATCGTGTTTAGAAAAAAACATATTACAGACGTAAGTTCTTAGGTACTTAACACTTTAGCTTAAAACATGCTTTTCTCAAAATAACAATATTCCTAGTCGTACCCATCCTAGTAAAACTGTTACAAGACCAATTGCATTAAACATGGAATAATTTAAGAGGAGAACCGCTCTACTGTACATGTGGTACATTTATATTATATTTCGAAATCAGGAGAAATGTCCTCTTAAATAAAATGTACCTTAAATTTGTAATCTGAAATGATTAACAGCGGACCTACCCACCAACTGGTGTAATCCTCTAAGAAAGTAAATATTTAAAGGACTACATAAATTTCCCGCTGAGTAAAACAAACGCTGATTGGTCTCGCAGTTAATTGGGAGAAATGACAATTGGAATGGTGCAAGGTGTTTTCCTTGTGGTGCGCCTCTTTCAACATTTAACTTGTGACAAGATTCCGGTGTTAATATGCTGGTAACCTGTTGGTTAACAGGTTGTCTTCTTATCACGTTTGTAATGATCCTATCTTTTAAACAACGCCGAAAGTTTAGGAATTGCTCGCAAAGTGTTGTATTGCTTTGATCCGAGAGTTTTATTACACGGCTTAATTAGCGCTGAGATTGCCAAATGTGATAGGGCACAGTTTTCAAGACGGGGGGTAGGGCATGTGCCTGATATCCTGAGACGGTGACCCCCTATTAAGTCTGACTGAGATATCCCGTCTGTCAATTGTCTTAACGTGCATAATTAAGCGCAAAATTTGCATAAAATTAAGACTACAAATTTGCCATCACACCCCTCGCTTCTCAAATCGCAACGTGAGTGCTAAAGGTGAAGTGTGGCACGAAACAGGACTAGGAAAAAGTCTCTTTTGACATGATGGATTTTTCTCGGATAGAACAAGAGGCACTAATGAAAGGTGTGTGTTTAAGAAAGTTTGGTGTGTAACAATCTGTATCAGATGTCCAATGACTCTATATTCTGTATTCAATATTCATGCTTTCAGTGGTAACACATCCGTAGTTATTGAAAGAAAGCTCACTTATACTTAACATCCTCCCATGTCCGACGTCCTACGCTTATCACTAACTTGTGATTAAATTTTCGTTTCTTTAGTAATCAGAGGAAGGTTTTTTGATTGTTTCAAGTATGGTGAGGATACTGTGTTTTGGATATGTGACACGATACTAAGAACCCGAATTTTGGTGTTATCGATTTCTGGACGTCTGAGATTAACGTAAAGTCCCTTATCGAATCAGGTAATCGGCAAATCTACAAGCTCTTCACTAAACGCGCCATAAACTAATTGATTAATAACACTAACGCGCGTGCGCAATCACTATGCCTTTCTTAATGATGCATAATTCCGCTTGATTTTTACCACTTCTAGGACGTACATGAAACAAAGTTGTGAGGCTCTTATGGTGTGCCACAAAACTATAACTAGAAGAGTCTCAATGCTGTGGTTTAATTATCTTATGATTACAGAAATGGTTTTGCTGCTTTTATAGAAATATTTTGCTACTAGAATAATGATGGTTGATAGGGGATCTTTTCGAAGGTAGACACATTGAAAACCTATGTCAGTTTCACTGCAAAATTAGTAACATTTATTACATATACAGCCAAGTAACGAATTGAGGGAAGTTATCTGTTTGTGTTAAGGTTGGTATATTTCAGGCCAATCATCACACAATCAGTTTCCTAAACATGTTTATCATCTAAATCAGAAATGAGATTAAACGTTGACTATTTAATTCTTTAAACCATAAACCACGATTAATAACCCAAATCTGCAATTTCTGGTTGTGTGTGTGCGTGCGCGCGCATGTGTGTGTGTGCATGTGTGTGTACGTGTGTGTACCTCTGTGTGTTTTAAAGCTCAAGGCCGTATGGAATATATTAATTGGTTTCAGCAGAAATGAAGAGATCATTTAGAAGTCACTTTGGTTTGACATGTTCCTATGCATAAAGATCCAGAAGGGCAAACTATATATAAAATACGAATGTATGAACAGTGGGTATATATTTAACATTTAAGAAACAAACCTGCACATAGAAACAAAAGTATAACGAAATGAGAAAGTTAAAGTGATATGCCCAGGGCGCGAAAAAGTTAATGATTCAAAACCAAAGAGTGTAATTAAATTATCATGGTACGGTGGGCCAGTGCCTGAGTAATCAGGACCATGTGGCAAAGCGAATCATTTAGTTTTGTTACGGGCTCCGACGCAACAGTTGGGTTGGCGATTTGTGGTTCCGTGCCGGACGTAATGCGTTTTCACGCCTTCGGGCACTGAAGAGTACCACAAAGAAAACATTCGGACTTTCATTGTTGGAGATCGCAGATGAGAAATGATGTCTGTTTGTTGGGTTGATATGTTAACAATGAACCTTTATCACCAGAATTTACTTTCAAAATAGTAGTTGTTGTTGTCATATGTCAATGGATTGCTACTTTATTGATGTATCTTTTCGCACCGCCTGTTCTGCTTAACCTAACGTTGTCGACATCGTTTAAATAATCATTGAAGAGTTATAAATTTACGGCTGTTGTCCAGGGTTTCCCTTTGAGTTTCTTGGAATGACATGTTCATTATCGTGCACCTTGAACCTGCTGTTTTGCGATGAAATGTAAATTCATCTGTTAAGAGTATCTTGACAATTCAGCTTTCGCCGTTTTGTGCAATAGCTCAGGCTTCAGACGACAATCGGTTTTCAAAATTATTTCAAAGCATAGTGTTCCAACAAATTTGTGCTTTAAATATCTAGTAATTAATGTTTATTGATACTGAACACCTCTTCTCGATGTTTTTCCTATGTAAAAAATAATGTGATGACACCAGCCTATGTGACGATTTATAACTGTATAGCCATTCTGCTTACATACCTCAGTATAACTTTCTTGTAATGCTACAGCAAGTATCGAATGATGTATGTTTAAATTCATATGGGTGATTCACAGATTGATCTATGTGACATAAACGCGGTAAAATTAAATTAAAGGGATCGAATAATTCCTGAAACGAAAATGCGATCACATTTTTACGTGCTGCAGTAAGTATCGAATGATGTATGTTTAAATTCATATTGGTGCTTCACAGATTGATCTATGTGGCATAAACGCAGTAAGTCCAAATTAAAGGGATCGAATAATTCCTGAAACGAAAATGCTGAGGTCTTCAGACTAGTGTCAGTGAGAAATTGAAATCTCCATTCAATCAATATCCACGCAGTTCCACATTTGTAAGAAGTATAATTACATACTAAACAAATATTAGTACAAAATGTATTAACACGGAAGGTCGTTAGACGTGTCAAAGGAGTTTTACCGATATGATTTTGACCTGCCACTAACCTGCGTCTTCTGTTCATATGTCCTGGTTGAAGCTCGTTATGGTGATCGACTTTGACTATCGATACGTTTCGTGAATAGTTCGACAGGTTTCTAATGCTTGTATGCTTCCACACTAAATTAAATATTTCATTGTAAACATATGCCGCCTTTTCATCGTCAAACCATCATTGAAGTTGTCATTTCTTTTGAACCGCATGCATAAAATGTCTGCCATCTATTGACTTATTGATTTATCAGTTGTAAGTTCAAGCACTTTATACCGAAAGGCCATCTCGTACTTCAGTACCGGTAATCGTTAAAGTATCCATATACTCTCACACGTACACATAATGGATTGTCTTAGAAAGTTATAAACGTATACATGTGTAATTCTCCTGTAACAGTTGTCTTTCAATGGCAGTAAACTAAACAAGAACATCTTAGTTAATATAACATTGATGTGATCATGCTGCTAGAATCGGAATTCCACAGAGTCAATATTTCCATTCTTTGTCTGTTATTGCTGTATCTATCCACGTGGGGCTCTTTTGTTGTAAGTCGGCATAAAATCAAAATTGGTTCTGAAACCCATTTCCAAATGAATACTTTATAGTAATTACATCATTGATTAAACTCTGGCCTCCGTCACCTTCTAACAAACCCCTGTCGACAGACGGTCGCGAAAAGGAACACGGTACTGTAGGCAAGGACAATGTGTCCTCAACTTGTCAGCGGCTGTCAATTATACCTCCCTATTGCAGTATTGATTGTGAAAAGAGTGTATATTTCTCGTGAGTGTTTTCCCACTGTCTCGCTGTACATATCAGTATGTGGTATAATGAGCTGGTAACAAGTGCCACAATGTCATAAATAGCGTAATTACCAAGACCGTGGCAGCTTGGGAAAATTTCATTGGAGGGTTACATATAAAAGTTGACTTGAATCGCAGCAGAGAGACTCAATGATATCTCTCGGACAAATTTAAGAGAAGTAAAACTGAGTGGTTTAAAAAACATGATTTATTTAGACTTGTACAAGAACACTTACACATCATTAAATAATTTTCAATTTTCTGAAAAAAAATCGATGTAACGTGCATATTATTGATGCAAGTCATGACGCCAGTCATAACGATTGGTACAAGAATGTCATTGTTCTCAAATACGCCTAGGCATAAAATCACTAGTAAATTCAGTTTCATATCATTGTTCTTAAATTTATGTGGATGGCAGCTTTGCCGATTATAAAACTGAAAAGCCCCTTTATTACTGTTTGTGTAATCGGCACAACAAGCCACTACCATAAACACAGTAGTATATCGATTTTTTAACAACAATTTCTCTTTGACCCCAAATCACTATCACTGTATATGGGTGCATTAAGTTGACAGCAAGCACTATTCATAACAGCAAATACATTCAAATACTGTTATACCTAAGGCTCCTGAGTGCCTGAATTATATATAATTTCAGATCATATTCTCTGAATATACCGAACGAACGGTGAACGGTTGTGTAAGATTCAAGTTACTTTCATCTGTGTCTGATACCGCTTTGATGTGATATATATTGTTATCAGAATAAAAACATCAATGCAAATTAGATCAACAAGTATACATGCATCGTGTAATCGAATACCAAATACAATATAGAATTGATATATTCTTCCAGGTTCCCTTTGATTGGACATGCTTTTGGAATCGTATATAATCGATGTTGTTAAGCATCACAAACAATCAAACTTTGATCAATTATCCAAATGTTTTTAAATGTATGGTTTTCCACACATCGGACATATACACATGGTATGTTGGAAGCTTTACCTTTAAGATTGTTATCGTGTTCGTGAGATGCCTGCTAAACCTACGACGCTTTGTCGAGACGAATTTTCCTTTGACGTTCAAATTTTATATTCCTTATTTTTTAAAGAATTTTGAAATTTAAAACAAACATGTAATGCACTTTCAAATATTTGATTATACGACCGTCTTTTGCTACACGGTTCATAACATAACATATACATGCACATTATACACATTATTATGAATGGATTTATTGTTTGGATATATTTTTCATACGAACAAACAGGTAACACAAAGAGCCATTATGTTACTTAATTATATGACTTACCCTGTGAATAACGACTCGCATTCAATGCAAGTTTATTGTGTAGTATGACGATATATGCACGTAATTTTAATGAGACTACCTTTGCAATAGCGTCCTAAAAGAAATATTTACCTATTTGCGTTGGATGTTAAGCATTTTGAATAATGCTGTAATGTCTCTCTCAAAGATGTGTGAGGTAAAAAGCCCATATGAAATTATGGAGGAAAGATTTATTCCAAGTAATTCCCATTACGCTAACAATATACTTATCCACGTTAGCATTAATACGCATTTTAAGAGTTTTATAGGGCGCTCATCCTTGATGTACATCGGACGCTATCAAACGACAGTCTTTCACAAATTACGGTTGTATTATGATAAATAGGATTACATATCAAATATCAAAGATGGGCACATTGACTTTACAGAAAGTGGTTTCCTAAAGATAAATTTAAGTATAAAGGGGTTATGTTTTTTAACTTTTGTCACGTTATAATCGCTTAACATTCTGTTGATTTTATTATCATTTTATGGTTATATCCCAAATTTAGATATTTAATAGCCTACTGTGGGTGGACATATTTTCCATACAACTTGCTTTATGACTATATCGTGAAAAGAATGAAAAGGCCTTTAATGGACAATGCTATTATCGTCGCTTTTCATAGGAATCATCGGACACGGGACTTATTTCCAAAACTCAAACAAGTTCACTGGTTTGAAACACCGCATCGGAAAAATACAACAGATATCATCAAAATTTTGAACATAGCGCTGCAATTATATAATGAATATTAAGTCATGATAGATGAATTCCGGTTAAAAACTTTTATCAGTACACTTAAGTTTGCAAAAATTACTTGTATGAAAGAATTATATAAATTAAAGAAAATCCTGACAAAAATGAATTTTATTTGAAGCATTCTAGCAGAATGTTTAATGGCTTAATTTGGAGTCAAATTGCTGTATGAAAACCATGTAATCAAATAGCCTCAGAATACATCTAAGGGCCGCTAAGTTTTGTGTTCGTTCTTTTTCGACAATTATCCAGTAGTCCTTTCATATATTGCAAGATTGGAAGCCTGAACTAATAAAAGATGGCGACAATGCAACCTATCCTATTTCCTAAAAAGTAGTTTTATTATTTTAACACATAGTGTTGTACATGTTGTTAGGAACACTTATGCCCGAGCATTGAACATACAATCCTGAGTGGACATTAGATTATGATTCATCTAACCTAAATTAATGTCATTCATTGCAAAGAGAGCAGAACCTTCATTTAAGAACGACATTGGATATATCATTATTTATAAAGTAACTGTTGAAATTTCACCCCAATGACACATATGATAGAACTGATAAAATGCTATTCACAAATCCTCGAAACAATATGAAAATGAAACAAATTAGAGCTGTATACAAGTTGTATTATCTTAAACTGAAGAGAGTCAATGCAACATTTTAGTAATACCCAATCAAGCAATTTGCCTATGACTTCTTTCAAGGAAAATATAATATTCAGTTTAGGAAAAGATGTCTGATTTTGCTCACTGTTCCTTGCATATGTTCTCGGAAAATATTAGAGGGTAAAGCGAGAATGATTTTCTGTAGAATATAGTTGTATCCCTCGTGTTAAAGCTGACATGCAAATGTTTCCAATCGAAACAAATTTTCCAAACAGTTAAAAAATGGCTAATTAATATTTGTATATATTGCACTTGAAACAAAACAAATTTGTGGGTGTTTTTATTTGATTGGCAAATTATATGCTGTGGTGACTGTACTTATGTATTCTAGATACGTGCTTGTTATACTGACAAATATCACCGGCATACACCTGCGTCAAATGTTTATGTACATCGTTATGTGTTTCTTTCATGAAGGCCAAGGTCGTGTAAATCAACTTGGCGGCGTCTTCATCAACGGACGTCCTCTTCCTAATCACATCCGTCTTAAGATTGTCGAGTTGGCATCCCAAGGTGTACGTCCATGCGTTATCAGCCGCCAGCTTCGAGTCTCTCATGGGTGCGTCTCAAAAATACTTCAGCGTTATCAAGAAACCGGAAGCATACGTCCAGGCGTCATCGGTGGAAGCAAGCCACGAGTTGCCACACCGGAAGTAGAGAAACGGATTGAGACGTACAAGAAGGACAACCCAGGTATTTTCAGCTGGGAGATTCGCGATAGGCTCCTTAAAGAAGGAATCTGTGACAGAAGCACTGTCCCAAGTGTTAGCTCTATCAGTCGTGTTCTCAGGTCTAAATTCAGCAAAGGATCCGACGACGAGAGCATAGATGGAGAAGACGAGGAAGAAGATGTTGCTCGGAGCAACGGAGAAAAACTTGCAGATTCTGCAGGAGACGACACTGCAGACACAAGTGAAGATAAACTCGAGGGTAAGTGTCTTTTGTCAGTTTTAACAGGTACATCCATAAAAACAGAGGTATTAAAAAAACTATTGGACAAATCGGTACATCATGGATCAGTTAAGCGAGCTTCTGATTGGTCCAGCTTTCCGACTGTAAACAAAACCTTATTAACCCGATGCCATTGGTGCCTCAGAAATGTATGGAATCACCCATACTTCCACACAAGAGGTGCATCGAAAAGACTTAACTAACACATATAATGAAAGTCCAAAATGTTCGTCCAAATGGTGTATCTTGGCCCTGTAGTTCATTGTACCCGGCGCTTCGATGCCTTAATACCGTTTTAGCCTATTTTGGTTTAGAAACACCCTCACTCGAAACGTATGACCACTCAATATTGATACTATTTACATGAAATACAAAAAGTACATATACAAGCAATTACACCAAACAACTTCCTATACGAATCCAGTCGTGTGCCCTGAGCATTGACGTATGCAATGTTAAACAACAAATATTATAGCAAACAGAAAAGTATTTTTGTACGTATTTCAAAATCGATTTGTTTTTGGTATCATACTTGAACAGCACGTCTCACCATTTAATCTGAAATGGCCAAAGGAATTAACGCTCTTTTTATAATTCTGTCTGAAGCCAAGATTATCAAAGACGATCAAAATGACACAAAGAACGAGGATAATAATGCGACATATTATTTCCACCTCACCCTAAGTGTATCAGCTGATGTTTGGTGTGGGGAAAATAACATATTCGTTGCAAAAAATGTGTTATGACTAACACTCTGAGTTTGAAATTCGGTGTAGCTGGACTTGTATGTGTGTGTCTTCCAACTGTTACCATCCAAGGATCATTAATATTGCCGAATAATTTCGTCCTAGTTTCTGGCCTATTGTGTGCCTCGTGATGTTTGAAAATGAATTGTCGCGTGATAATTTTTACTAACTACAACGAATATCTAATTATCATGATTTGGTTTTTGGTCATCCATATAATGAATTCATAGAATCAATTTAAAAATGATAATGAAAAACAATGTTGTTTTTTCTGAGAATTAATGAACGATTTTATTGAGCCCTTGTCACACCATTAAAACGTGTGATGCTTTTGAATAACTCAATACCCAATTTCATACTTAAAATTAGGAGATCGTTAGCAAAATCACCGTATAGCCACGTGACAGTGACGAAGATCCGACTTGACAAGTCAGAAATTACTCATTCAAGCCTGAACAGCGGCAGAATTGATACAACGAAATGACAGCAAGGAATAGCAAAGTGTGTCCAGTTGCATTGAGCTGTTAGATTGTGCTCTTATTAAAGAGGTGGTTTGACCAACAACTACTCCATTGTTGTGCCTAATCCTTATATCGCTTCCTTCGCACAAGCTAGATAAATGATAGGTGTGTGTTACAAGGAAGCACCCTCAACCGACCCGTGAAATAGGGCTAATTGTCTCCCTTGTTAAACCCTGACTTCGCTCGTTCTATTACCTCCACTTTAGACTATTGCCAATCTACCGATGGTCTAAGAAAACATACTATTATCCAGAAAGTGGTGTACTGCCGTAGGCTTGTTGCTGACCACGTGTTTGATTGACAGCCAGTGCCATGCGCGCCAAGATGCGCGTTAAACGAGAAGGTGTGAATTGAACACTACAAAGTGACACGTGATTTTATTATTAAATTTCGCTGGGTAAACATTGATTGCGGGTGAAAGAAAACACCAATAATTGCTGAGAAAATAATTCAAAATTCCATTTCAAGTAAGCTTGATTTAACTCTATTACTGTCACTTATACGCACAAGCTGACCATTTCATTACTCTTTATTCCTTTGTTAAAGTTTCAAATTCACGAGGCTGGAGCTAATAACGTAAACAGTGAAGCCAAATTGTTAACTATCACATGGCATCAGTCGTTATAAAACTTCCATTTCTCTAAAGTGGTTGCAACATCGCCAGTACCAGAGACCATATACCGATATATATTGGTATATGGTCTCTGTCAATACCGTACTGATCTATATTACAAACACTACGGATTTCTTGTTGACGAAATGAAGTAGATTTTGTTTAAAATAACAATAAGAAAATCTCGAGTAGTCGATCTAACTGTGTTTGTGGTGGGGTATCTAAGTACAACCAGATGTTTCTAATTCTAAATGGAACATATTTTTATGGGATCGAATCCACCCAAAGTTGTAGGGGGTCATGTCAAGGTGAGAGTGTAGTGGCGTTTGATTTAAAGTTTCTCTTTAAATTACCTCGAGCAGAGCGTCTCATTTTCGTTTGCTCTGGGTCGAACACTCAAATTCTCATCTATAAAAATAATCCAACAGGGCTCAGTGGTGGTGTCAAGCTCGCCGCATCTACCACACCTGTGAGGAGTTATAAACGTGATTGATGGATCGTCGCATCGGGGGTGGCTGTTAATTGCGCACACTCCCTCGGTAGTTGGTAAATTTTGCCAAAACTTGACCACCTTTTTAAACGGAGCTGGATCAAACGATAAGTCCAACCGTGTTGGTTCTTTTGCAAGGAACGGACTCTTGAGCCTTACAAACAGACAGTATTAAAATTAATGTCAGTTTGCGAGTCCTTTTCAAGCCACGAAATTATACCCAACTTATTTCTGCTTCGTTTTTGGTGTAGAATAGATTTTGAATTGAGAAGTCATTGTGGGTGAATTATGAACCGTGAAACAAACCTGACTACGCTACAATGTCGTGGCGGGAGATCCCCCCATCAGCTATTAAACATCTCACAGCACGAAACATTTAAATTTCTCATAATAAATTTGTCATTTTCTTCGTGTACCGAACCGTCACGACGGTTTGAAAAGACCCCTCGAAATCGGCAAGCAACTGAAACTAATGCTGAATTTTCCGATTTGATCATTTACTGTGAGAGCCGTGGCGTGTGCACATCTCTCGCCAGGGGGCGCCTTTGAAGATCAACTCCCGTCGTTCCGTGCGGCTGTGAATGTTAGCAGACGACCGATGTGTTTGAAACCAGCTTTAGAGACCCAAGCAGTTCACAGTAGGGGGCGAATCATAAACCTTATTCCATACATCTCTTTCCTGAGCTACCTTCAATAACTCTAAGCCAAATTTCATTTCAATTGTGAAAAACGACCCTCCATTTTGACCCCCAATGAATAATTTATTTGAGATACATTCCTTTGAGCATGAGATGATTTCTGTTTCAACCCCTTCCGAAAATTCAATTAATTTAAGATGGCTGTATTAAAAAGTGAACAGTCAATGACAGTCAGTTGTAGATACAAGTTCCGCCGACCATGAAATCAAATCACATCATCCTCGCCTGGGAGACGCATCGCTACAGCTTCTGTTATAAGAAACTGAAAGTACAAATAGACACCTTTCTCACCCCATAAAAAAAAGTGGAGGGAAACCCCATTATCAAATGCAAATAAATATGATGAAGTGATTTGTAACTGATTGAATTTGGCGCCATGTTTATATGGGACTGTCTTGTTACGCTCAATGCCGTCTCGGGTCGTGATAAGTCGCCTGCAGTTAGGCTATTGAGAGGTTGTATTATATGTACCTCATGTTAAAGACACTTGTCATGAGACAGTACTTCACAGTGTTTAATGCACCAATGAAAAGACACGGTTGATGCCCATAATCACACTTGTTACGGTATATCATTGCCAATGGTGAATTATATCGCTTTCATGACTTATCTCCCTTTGAATGATGAAACATGATATTTCAGTCATTGTCTGCTGAAACTGAAATTAAAAATCGTAAATTAATTATGCACATCTTTTTAGATAACGCGTGTTTAACATCTATAACCATGCATTACCCATGTGATATGTCGACAGATAAATTTATTCAGAGCCACGCGTGGCCCGACCGGATATTTAGAAAGGGAACATTAGGTGAGGTGGGGTGAGGTGAAATGGAGGTGAGGTGTAGGTGAAATGGGGTTTCATGTCGCGTTCATGATTATCGTTCTTACGTATATTATAGACTCAACTGGTAATCGGTTTATAAAATGATAAAAGGTGACAGCTCAATGTTAATGTATAGACCAATCAAACAAAACGAATGACAAATTGCCAACCTTTAGTCAACTTCTTGGTCTGCAGGCGGATTGAAAAAACCCTCCAAAAAGCACTCATATTAAAATGCTCGATGTTACTGTCGAGTTTTCCTGCTCAGTCATGTCAGTCGGACATAAACCTACTTTGGGATCAAAATCACACACTTGATGTCGGGCATTGTGAATGACTTGAAATGCCACGTGCTTTATGTCACGTTAATGTACTGGTATTTGCACGTGCAAAACGCACCACGTGCTTTCAGTGCACTGACGACACTTCACTGGCGTCTTTCCACTCACCATCGCTGAAAAGAAATACAGGCTCGTTTTCGAATTTAGTTTTCCTTTTAAATTTACAATTCAGTTAAATAAATATATTTTGAAGGTGTTTTAGGCAGATAAAAACACGACTCCTCGGTCTTGGTACACACCCAGGATTATTTTCCAAATTAAAATATATTAACCATATACAGTTATCGAATATATCATTCAAAGGTATAGCGTATATTGTCTTTATGTATTTATATTTAATTTGAATATATTTATCCATTTCAGATGTTTCTGACTGTGATTCTGAACCAGGACTTCAGCTGAAGAGAAAACAGAGAAGAAGCCGGACAACGTTCACGGCGGAGCAACTTGAAGAACTCGAGAGAGCATTCGAAAGAACACATTATCCCGATATCTATACACGAGAAGAACTAGCTCAGAGAACCAAGTTAACGGAAGCACGTGTTCAAGTTTGGTTCAGCAACAGACGTGCAAGATGGCGAAAACAAGTGGGGACCAATCAGCTATCAGCAATCAATACATTCCTCCAGATGCCCCAAGCAGTTCCGAGTACTCATGCGCAGTATGGACTTCCTGAATCAAGTTATCACCTTCCTTCCGCTTCAGGTACATGCACGATTCATTCGAAATCTGTCACCATGCCATGCTTTTCTGTAAAGAATAAAGAAATATTCCATTATTGTGATCAGTGATGTCAGGGTGATGTTGTAGTTGTTAATTTATGGCCAAGGCAATAAACCGTGCTAACAATGTATCTGTTTTTCAGACTCGTTTTGGCATCGTCCTCCACTGCCCGGTCCTCTTCATCAAGCATTTTCCCATCCGCCATCATTCAAACCGGAAGTATCTTATGGAGGATTGATGGACTCGTATCTCAGTCATGCAGCTCAAGTAAGGCGCTTACCACATATCCTATATACATATAAACTGTCGGAAACAGTCATTTGTATTGTCGCTATTGCTGTTGTTATAATCTTCAACGTTTGAAGCTTGAACCGCAAGATTTGCTCTAAGATAGAGCTTTGATTCAAGGTCTGGTCTGACTAATTGTACAACTGTAGGAATTGAACCTTGTTTTATGCGTGACGAGCGAACGCGTTCACCAGGAGGCTATTGCAAAACCGCCATAAATTCAATTGAGCTTCAGAGTGAAACGAAGTCTGTAGTCTAAGGCATTTTGCCTTCAGCTTCACTGAGCAGACCGGCAGTCGTTATTGTCGCAACCGAACAACGTCAACGTTGCATTTGCAGCAATACGGTTATGATTCCCAAGTAAAATTCGAATGAGGCCTGACAACGAAGTTAGTCGCGAGATGAAATATGTTATTGTGAGTCTTAAAAATAGATTGTATAATTAGAATAGATTACGGTCAATTGTTATCGATTCCCTGCGACTGAAAAACAGAGCGTATGTTACGTGACCCCGCGAAACCAATTTGTCGCTATACGCAAGAGTGATCTGGCATCACACTTAATAGAGAGGCATGTTGCAAAAATCCAATTCAAAAAATATTTGCATCTATTGAAAAGCTTTTGAATTTGTGTTTCTTTGATTCTTTTAGGTCCCTTCATACAACAGCCTGGCATCAGGTACGACATATTCCACGGCATGGTCAACACCGACGGTGAACTCAACACTCGCAACACTTAGCTCTTACCATCCTGGCGTCTCGACATACCCGTATGACGTCGCAAAGTCCAGTATAACCCCTTCGACCTTTACGTCTCAAGGTACATGATGAAATACCCAGATGTTTTTGTATGATAAAACATATTTTAAAAAATTCACGAAAAAGTAACCATGTTTATCTGTACAGTGCAAAAGCGAATTCGAGAATTGTCTGAACAGCTAGGTGGACATATCTAGCACTTATATGTCAAGATAATGTCTTGTATCGGGTGGGGGCAGTCGTCAAAAATTGATTTACTATGGCAATTATGCGTGCGGGTTCAAATCCGAGAAGGGGTTAAAGCGTCACTCGTTAAGTTGAAGACCCGGGTTCGATTCCCCACATAGGTACAATGTGTGCAGCCCATTTCTGGTGTCCCCCACCGTGATATTTCTGGAATATTGCTCACTCCGAGAAAAATCCGAGAAAAATCTTGATGAGAATTCTTGGTTGGTCAGCTCCTTTAACCCAGTGATCAACATCTAGAATAAGCATTCTCTGCGAACCCCAACTCACGCATCTCTATGTATTAATGTGAATACACGTGTTGGAATGTCGGCTATCATGTTCACTCACGCTTCAATTCCACATATTTCATCAGTTTTTTCTCCAAACCAAAACTAATTCCCAAAATGAAATTAACGATGTTTTCAAACTACAAAATACGAACGAAAAATTTAACCTTGTCGTTATATTTTCAGGTGTGGACAAGTGTTCAACAGATGAAACATTAGCGGCTTTACGGCTGAAATCTCGTGAACATTCCGCCATGTTGGGGTTCGGTCTCGTCAATACAGATCTCGCGAGACCAACAAGTTCATATCAAACTGTATAACGTGCAACCACAGCGTCATTAATTCTGACAGACAAAAACATTTCTTTGCTCAAAGATGACCGCTGCTTTAACTGTGGTAGACAATCCGATCACGTGATGGAATCAGGAAGAAGAAACGATGTTTCGACGAGAAGCACCGAGATCTCAGACGTCAGGTTAACTGAGCCGAAAGAATCATTCCACTACACTCATGAATGTAGCTATTTATGTATATGCAAGATAATGTATTCCACTGAACTGATCATACATGTGTGACATAACAATGTCATGCTGTTAGCCCCCTGATACGGCATTGTTCTTATACCGGTCTGTGCAAAGTTAGCAAATCAGTGGTGCTATCTGTATAGTTATACAGTCTGTTTGTGAATTTGCCTCACGCAAGACTCTTTACCATATATAGGAGTATCGAAGACGCCATTGACATATGGTGGATGTTATTTCAGAAATGCATGGAATGTACTTGTAGATATAAAAGTTGCTGCATAATTTCTATGTATGGGACCTCCTGCAGTTTATGTATTTATATTTAATTTGAATATATTTATCCATTTCAGATGTTTCTGACTGTGATTCTGAACCAGGACTTCAGCTGAAGAGAAAACAGAGAGAAGAAGCCGGACAACGTTCACGGCGGAGCAACTTGAAGAACTCGAGAGAGCATTCGAAGAACACATTATCCCGATATCTATACACGAGAAGAACTAGCTCAGAGAACCAAGTTAACGGAAGCACGTGTTCAAGTTTGGTTCAGCAACAGACGTGCAAGATGGCGAAAACAAGTGGGGACCAATCAGCTATCAGCAATCAATACATTCCTCCAGATGCCCCAAGCAGTTCCTGAGTACTCATGCGCAGTATGGACTTCCTGAATCAAGTTATCACCTTCCTTCCGCTTCAGGTACATGCACGATTCATTCGAAATTTATTGTGATCAGTGATGTCAGGGTGATGTTGTAGTTGTTAATTTATGGCCAAGGCAATAAACCGTGCTAACAATGTATCTGTTTTTCAGACTCGTTTGGCATCGTCCTCCACTGCCCGGTCCTCTTCATCAAGCATTTTCCATCCGCCATCATTCAAACCGGAAGTATCTTATGGAGGATTGATGGACTCGTATCTCAGTCATGCAGCTCAAGTAAGGCGCTTACCACATATCCTATATACATATAAACTGTCGGAAACAGTCATTTTGTATTGTCGCTATTGCTGTTGTTATAATCTTCAACGTTTGAAGCTTGAACCGCAAGATTTGCTCTAAGATAGAGCTTTGATTCAAGGTCTGGTCTGACTAATTGTACAACTGTAGGAATTGAACCTTGTTTTATGCGTGACGAGCGAACGCGTTCACCAGGAGGCTATTGCAAAACCGCCATAAATTCAATTGAGCTTCAGAGTGAAACGAAGTCTGTAGTCTAAGGCATTTTGCCTTCAGCTTCACTAGAGCAGACCGGCAGTCGTTATTGTCGCAACCGAACAACGTCAACGTTGCATTTGCAGCAATACGGTTATGATTCCCAAGTAAAATTCGAATGAGGCCTGACAAACGAAGTTAGTCGCGAGATGAAATATGTTATTGTGAGTCTTAAAATAGATTGTATAATTAGAATAGATTAACGGTCAATTGTTATCGATTCCTGCGACTGAAAAACAGAGCGTATGTTACGTGACCCCGCGAAACCAATTTGTCGCTATACGCAAGAGTGATCTGGCATCACACTTAATAGAGAGGCATGTTGCAAAAATCCAATTCAAAAAATATTTGCATCTATTGAAAAGCTTTTGAATTTGTGTTTCTTTGATTCTTTTAGGTCCCTTCATACAACAGCCTGGCATCAGGTACGACATATTCCACGGCATGGTCAACACCGACGGTGAACTCAACACTCGCAACACTTAGCTCTTACCATCCTGGCGTCTCGACATACCCGTATGACGTCGCAAAGTCCAGTATAACCCCTTCGACCTTTACGTCTCAAGGTACATGATGAAATACCCAGATGTTTTTGTATGATAAAACATATTTTAAAAAATTCACGAAAAAGTAACCATGTTTATCTGTACAGTGCAAAAGCGAATTCGAGAATTGTCTGAACAGCTAGGTGGACATATCTAGCACTTATATGTCAAGATAATGTCTTGTATCGGGTGGGGGCAGTCGTCAAAAATTGATTTACTATGGCAATTATGCGTGCGGGTTCAAATCCGAGAAGGGGTTAAAGCGTCACTCGTTAAGTTGAAGACCCGGGTTCGATTCCCCACATAGGTACAATGTGTGCAGCCCATTTCTGGTGTCCCCCACCGTGATATTTCTGGAATATTGCTCACTCCGAGAAAAATCCGAGAAAAATCTTGATGAGAATTCTTGGTTGGTCAGCTCCTTTAACCCAGTGATCAACATCTAGAATAAGCATTCTCTGCGAACCCCAACTCACGCATCTCTATGTATTAATGTGAATACACGTGTTGGAATGTCGGCTATCATGTTCACTCACGCTTCAATTCCACATATTTCATCAGTTTTTTCTCCAAACCAAAACTAATTCCCAAAATGAAATTAACGATGTTTTCAAACTACAAAATACGAACGAAAAATTTAACCTTGTCGTTATATTTTCAGGTGTGGACAAGTGTTCAACAGATGAAACATTAGCGGCTTTACGGCTGAAATCTCGTGAACATTCCGCCATGTTGGGGTTCGGTCTCGTCAATACAGATCTCGCGAGACCAACAAGTTCATATCAAACTGTATAACGTGCAACCACAGCGTCATTAATTCTGACAGACAAAAACATTTCTTTGCTCAAAGATGACCGCTGCTTTAACTGTGGTAGACAATCCGATCACGTGATGGAATCAGGAAGAAGAAACGATGTTTCGACGAGAAGCACCGAGATCTCAGACGTCAGGTTAACTGAGCCGAAAGAATCATTCCACTACACTCATGAATGTAGCTATTTATGTATATGCAAGATAATGTATTCCACTGAACTGATCATACATGTGTGACATAACAATGTCATGCTGTTAGCCCCCTGATACGGCATTGTTCTTATACCGGTCTGTGCAAAGTTAGCAAATCAGTGGTGCTATCTGTATAGTTATACAGTCTGTTTGTGAATTTGCCTCACGCAAGACTCTTTACCATATATAGGAGTATCGAAGACGCCATTGACATATGGTGGATGTTATTTCAGAAATGCATTGGAATGTACTTGTAGATATAAAAGTTGCTGCATAATTTCTATGTATGGGACCTCCTGCAGTTTATTTCTTATGTGCAATCCACATGTATAAACAACGCAGAGTATTGTATATATATCGACTTTCATTTGCAATACATAATTCGATATAGTGTTGTTCACATATTAATGATGCAATATTTACTTTTGAAACGAGAATAAATATATTTTCAAACAAGATTCCGGTTTCTATGTTACATATCTTTGCTAAATTTCACTACCTTCCTTGAGAAGTGAATGACTATGGTCTTCCTCAAAAGCTGAGCATCGTTACTAAATTTCAGTTGTTCATTCGTATGGGTTCCACAAATATTAATTCACATTTACAAACAGTTTTTAAAACTGATTTCGGCAATGGGAAACTGGCGTTGACGTTCCATGTCTAAAAACACAGTGCACATGTGGGAAAATGGCTGACTGACTGAGTTTGGTTTTACGCCGCTTTTAACAATATTCCAGCAACATCACGGCGGAGGACACCAGAAATGGGCTTCACACATTGTACCCATGTGGTGCGGGAAAATGAACACCGATCGACCGGAATGTGTGAGTGAGTTTAGTTTTACGCCACACTCAGCAATATTCCAGCTATATGGCGGGGGTCTGTAAATAATCGAGTCTGAACCAGACAATCCAGTGATCAACAGCATTGACATCAATCTACGCAATTGGGATACAATAACATGTGTCAACCAAGTCAGCGAGTCTCACCACCTCATCCCGTTAGTCGCCGCTTAAGACAAGCATGGGTTACTGAAGATAAATTCTCACCCGGAACTTCAACGGTCCGGATTGACCGGTACACATCAAATCAAGAGGCAGTGGTTTCGAATCCTACCAATATCCACAAGTGTTGTGTTGCTTCGAATCCCACCAGTGATGCAGCAACCTTTTTTACACTTCATTTTTGGAAACGGATTTCTTGACCAAATGCCTTCACACTGTGTACTAACAACCATCCCTTTTATGCCATCACTGACACTGACAAAGGAGGTTCCCTGTCATTGTCTACTACGGCTTTTGCATAGTTTCTGATGAACGAAGGAAAAAGACCATTACTTAAAAATGTAGAAGACATCATGAATCAGCCACTATTTAAAAATCCATTAATTACATTTAATGGAAAAACTCTTATGTTTCAATCGTTTATTTCAAGTGGAATTATTTGTATCAAACATATTTGTTTTGAAGTCATTCCAAAATTCATGTCTGGACACATTATTGTGAAAATAGTCCATGACACCTTACCTGAGATGGATATTAGTACCATACAACAATGTTATGGGGTTATTTTATTAGCGCTTCCATCAGAGTGGAAAAAGATAATTTTATCAGAGGTTGCCACAAAGCCCCCCTCAGGGAACATAATATGCACTGTTGATGAACAGGATCTGTCTGTTGATTTATTTACAACAAAATTTTGTTATGAAGTTCTCAGGAAAAAAACATTTCAAGAAACCAGTAGCTATCTCTTGGTGGAATCAAATTGCTTTAGATATCAATTGGAAAGATATTTGGCTGAATGTATGGGGAAAAGATAAATCAACAGATTCCGTACAGTTAGATTTCAAAATTGCTCATAATATTGTCTTCACATATGATAAACTCCTAAAAATTGGACTGTCAAACACTGATGTTTGTCCAGTGTGTCAAAGTGAAACAGAAGACATTTTACATCTATTCATCTTCTGTAAAGAGTTATCTTCCTTGCAAGAACTGGTGACTGAAATGTTGACAGATGTGTGCCAGGATACAGGATTTAGTTTTGGACAGTTATCCCTCTGGTTATTGTTTGGATTCTTACCAGAAAAGAAGTTGTCATGTAAATCATTCATGGACATTGTATTGTCAATTTATCGTCTTGCTGTATTTAAAAGGAGAGTTATATTGAGCCAAAACACAATCTCATTTCACATGAGGGCATTTTTCAAATCATTGATAAAACGCCATTTTAGCCTGTTGTTGTATAAATATTCGAAAACAAATCAATCACACATTTTCACTCAAAAATATGTCATGAGCAATGCATTCATATCGTTAGATGGAAATGAGATTATTCTCAATCCACCTTTTAGATTAGAACAATACGTAGTTCATTACATCTGTAGAAGTGCATGTATTAGAGCTGAATGAAATACATTGCATATTTATTCATGTACACATGTGGATTGTAAATTGTAAAATACTTATGAATATGCTTTCTCTC